CGGAGATTCAATACGATTTGTCGCAACTCTTCGCATACATCGATGAGTTAACTGATGTCAATCTTCTGGTGTGGCAACGATTCAGCCATTCGTACGTTCCCTACAATAAAGAGTGGATTAAAGAGAAGCTCTATATTATGTTAAGAGAGGACAACAACAAAGAGGAGCCGTCGGCCACCGGAGCCACCAATGGTGTGGTCGACATGAATGGCATTCAGTGATCATCTCTTTAATTGATATATTGTTTTGCAATGCCTTAAGTGCTAAATATGTGTTCATTTATACGGTTTTTCTCTCAAATCTCTTTATTTCGCTTTAAATACAATTATTTTTTGTTTCATTAAAAATGTTAATTATATTTTTGAGTCAAACCATAACTTCTTCAGTATTTTTATGACAATTTTTACGAATCAATGTATAAATAATTAGGTCTTAAAAAATATTATCATTTATTTCAATAATTATTATTAATAATGAATAAAAGTTTTTCATTAATTTTGATGAATCTGTGATTTTCATTGCTATTCAAAAGCATTGAGACGTTTGCAATGAATTGGTGTTCAATGGGATGACGCGATACAATCAATTCACTATTAATATATAGCCTTAAATGCAGTGAATATTAAACTAATCCAATATTAACCACGAGGGCATTTAAATATTAAATTACTCATCAATTAAACTTAAGCTATTAAACCATGATGTAATTGAATTCAACTTTAGTATTAAGAACATTCACAAAACACGTTACATATTCATCACGTTTACGCACACCTTATCATTAATACATTGAATAATAGATATTAAAGACAATGCAATGGCCTTATAATGTCATGTCTGCCCCCGAGTGTAAAATATGTAACAATTATTGTGAATACAATTGTAATAAATGCCATTCAAAGAGTGCGCCAAACGAAGCGATCCATAAATAACGTGACAACGAATGAGTGGTGGGATTGGAGTTAACGTTGAGTTCGAGAGGAGTTGTCAGAGGAATGAATGCAATGAATGAGTGATTCAGTCATTGATTGCATGTATTTCTCTCTGCCTTTCATTTGATCCGCGAAACCAATCATTGAACACATATTTAGCGACAATTTATTAGACGTTTTGGTCTATTATTTAATATTATTTGTGTTTTTAGTGTTTAATTACCATTACTTCAGACATTTCTATCGCTGTTTCAGTCGACAACTCCTCTGATTTGGTGCCAAACAGTTGTCACAAACATATCATCCGTTTAGTCGCCGAAACCCATTGATTGACCACAGATTTGGCCGAACCTATCGGACAAGACATACGACCAGAAGTAGACGACAAGTAGACGACAATGATATCGGCCGAAGGCGTGACACAGGAGTCGACCCGAAGGTTGGCCACTAAGAAGCAGACACTGGACGACGCGTACGCCATTCCCGCCAACTTCCTCGAGATCGATGTCGTCAACCCTATCACCCATGGAATCGCTCGCAACCGATACTCGGACTATGAGGTCCGCATGAGGGTGAGTACAGACACAGACAACCCATACCTCATCACCTGTTTCTTCGGCCATACAATCAATACAAGTGGTGATCAGTACCGGTGATCATAGCTATCATTTAGTGACCAATTGGTGGCCATATTTACCCACCAATTGGTCTGATATCAGCCTTACGTGTGGCGCTATTATCGCCACTTTTAATCAATTTGTTTATTGTTTTGTTATATACTGTATTTTGTGAGATTAAATGCAGTTATGATTTATATGTTTTGCTATCAATTGAATGCCAGACTTGCAGTGATAGGGAGGGAGAGGTCTTTGATTTGATTTACAATAACTTTGTGGCAAATATGCGTTCAAACACTTGCTATTGATTTACGGTTTGTTTACTTATCACTCCAAATACCCAGTGATAACATTATAGTATTCGCTTATAATGTGTTTTTTAATTTGCTTTTTATTATCACTTATGTTATCATCGGATGAAATGATGCGAATTGAAGAGCAATTTACCGGTGTTTAAGCTGAAGGAGTCGAGCGTTAGGCGAAGGTATAGCGACTTCGAGTGGTTAAGGAGTGAGTTGGAGAGGGACTCGAAGATAGTGGTGCCGCCACTGCCGGGCAAGGCGTGGAAGAGACAGATGCCGTTCCGCAACGACGAGGGCATCTTCGAGGAGGACTTCATCGAAGAGCGGCGCAAAGGTCTGGAACAGTTCATCAACAAAGTGGCCGGACATCCATTGGCGCAGAACGAGCGGTGTCTCCATATGTTCCTTCAGGAGCCGGTCATTGACAAGAGCTATGTTCCCGGAAAGATCCGCAACACATAAACCACACATACATAGCGTTATTATTATTATTATATATTCACTACATATTTGTTACGATATTTAAGTAAATTTAATGATAAGAAAACTTCTTAAGAGAATGAGAGACAGGAAAACAGAAAACAAAACCAATAATCAAATGACATTCGCATTCATATGTTATTATAATTAAATTGATATCAAATTATTGATTATGAAATGATTTCTTATATGTTATAAGACTATTGTAATTGTAATTACATTATGAATACTATTGTATTAATTAATGATTGTTTTATAATTCCTTTGGTTTTCTTTAGTTTTTAAGACAAATTTAATATAATTTTTTAATTTTTATTCAAATTATATATTGGATTAAATGAGTAAATAATTTGTTTTATGGTTTATAATGTAAAACTGCTTACAAAACAGTACAATGAGTTCTTTATATATTAAATGATTATTAATTTTTCTCAATTTATTATTTTGAATCAAATTTTGGACAAATTTTTAAAAATATCTATTTTTGTTTCTCATTTAATGTCTTTAATAATAATAATAAAAAATGAGATAAATTTACACTACTTTTTGAGACTACAGATAATAAATCATTGATTGAATTACCTTATTCTCTGACATAGAATTGCATGCAATACTAAGTCAATATCAGTAAAATAGCGTTTTTCAAAATGATATGCAATGCTATCTAGATAGTATTGCACCCCTTCACTAAAATTGACATAATATTGCATGCAATTGTATCGGATATTCAGTAAAGGGATTTAATCGTAACATTTAAATTAAACAAATATAATATGCTTTTGAGAATATTTCCCTGTTATAAAAGTCAAATTCGGATTCAATTAAAAATAATTAATCAATTTTCCAATGAGATGTAAAATTACAATTTAACAATTTAAAACTTAAATCAGCATTTCAATTCCTAGGATAATTATCCATAAATGACATCTTTAAACATCTTTAAATAATAATTAGGTTTTGATTTGATAATCATTTTAAAATTAATAAGTTTTATAAATATACTATGATAAATTAAGGAACAAGTATAATTTAAGAAATTTATACAAACGAAAATA